ACTATTCTTTCCAGTAGTGATGTTATCCTGCTTAAACTGGTTAGTTTGTGTCTCAAACTCTGTTTATACAAATTTATTATTAAATACAAGGTACTATGTAAATCAAAACTATATGTGGTCCATATAATAAAGTTTATTAAAGTTAATGAATTTTTTTTAGTACAAATTTTTGAGGTGCATTTTTTAGCATTTTTTTAGGGTTAGGACTAGTGTTTAGGGGTAGAGTTTATAATAAACAAGTAAGTATAAGTGGGTTTTAGGTAGGGTTCTGCAAGTGCCAGGCACGGGCACTCTAAAACATAGTGCCAGGCACAGACCTGGGCACCATTTTTAATAGTACGTGCCCGGCACTTGCAGAACCCTAGTTTTAGGGGGTCAAATAGAAATCTCTCAATTCATTTTGATCCGATTTCATTATGATCCGCTCTAACGGTTCTATAGTTTTGGATAAATTTTGCAAAGGCTAGTGAGACATCTCTACAAACAAACCTATAGACTATTTCTTTAGAAAAGTAAACTAAATTAAGTTCTGTCTTTTTGTCTTTTCTTTAAGAAAAAAAATGACTAGTGTAATACTCTGGACAATATTCAATAAAATATAAAAACAAACTATTATTTAAATATATTATTTTACTATTGACTACTATCATTATATAACATATCACCAAAACTATTATCAATACTATCAGTGCTATCAGTACTTGTAACTTCAGCAGTACCATCTGGTGTTGATTGCTGTGATTTTGGAGTACAACCACCTACACAGCGAATATCACCACTATCAAAAATATCGGTACTATTAAACAATGGACTGGTACATGTATCTGCACCTACATTATGAAGACAACTTTGTGATTTAAAGAACCATAGTGCACAGATCGGGTCCGCAGCACATGATTCACAACAACTTTGCGCTGATGTATCACCCGTTTTTGTTGTACCACCATTAGAATAAACTAAGTTATTCCATCCAGGACTACCAGGTTTTTTACAACAGTTTGAATTTTTGGAACGAGGACGAGCATCAATAGTAATAACTTGTGCAAATATGCATGAAAGCAGAAGAATTGCAAGCAAATTAAAAGCACGGAAATTCATGGTTGAAATAGTGTTGGTATTTAGGAGAGAAGATAAAAAGATGATAAGTGGATATAAAGAATAAAAGCAAAGGAAAAAATGCTGATAATTTATGAAAAGGTGAAGATAAGTATGAGACAAAAGTCATTTTTACGCTAATTATATGGGTTTTTGCCTTGAAAATATGTATGCGTATTCACATGTGGAAAAATGTCAAATTTTTTAAAATGAATTTTTTTACATACAGTAAATCAATTTAGAATAATGTTAGGAACATAAGCTATAAAAGCAGTAGTACGTATTAATAAAATTCTGCAATATAACTTATGAAAGTTTACATTTTCTTATAAAATATAACAAAAATTGATTTTCCGAAGATCTTTTTTTTGTAGATTTTTAAATATCAAAATAACTATTTTATATACAATCAGATCCTTTTAAATGC